GCATAACTATTGAATGTTCTATCCCTTACAGAGAAAAAAAATGAAATTTAGTTCTTGTCATGAGGAACTTATACCCTCAAGTTGAGGAAATATAACTAAAACAGCTGTATTTATCAAAACAGTTGTCCATATACACTCCCCACCTTCCTGCACATTTCTCAACTATTCTATCTGGACTTTGTTCCAGGCTCTTCTCAATAAATGTCACTTACCAAGATCAGAATGCTCTCCATGCTTCTAGGCTCAGTGGAAAGTTTGCAATACTCATTTTACTTGATCTTTTAGCAGTATTCAATGATGTTGACCATTTCCTCCTTGAAATACTCTTTCCCTTACCTTCCATAATATTCTTTACTAGTTTTTCTTCTACCTCTGTTTAGTCCTTCTCAGCATCCTTTACTGACTCATTCTTTGCTACATGATCTTCAAACGTTAAGGTTCCTTAAGGCATTGTTCTCCTATCAATCCATAATCCATCCTTGAGTGCTGTCATTCTAACACATGACTTCAGTTGCCATCTATACATTCATGACTCTTAGAGTTATATCTCTTGCTGAAACAGCTTTTTTGAGCTCCAGACCAGTATATATAGCTATTAAATATTTGCACTTAGATGTTTCACAAGCACCTCAGTTTCAACAAGTCATTGTCTTAGTGGTTATCCATAAAGATTCTCAAGTAAAAACCTCAGGGATCAACCTGTACATCTCTGCTTCTTCACTACTCACTTCAGTCAATCATTAAATTCTGTTGATTTTATCTCTTTATCTCAAACCTATTCATTCTGACCTTATCCACCGCTCCCACTGTAGTCTAAACCACTATTTCTTACCTGCAATATTCCAACCATCTCCTAATTGGTATATTTATATCCACTCTTGCCCTCTTCCAATCTATTCTTTATCTTTAACTGAAGTGATTTTTTTAAAAAGTTAATCTTATCATGTTTTTCTCTGATGTGATAACTTTCAGTGGTATCCCTTTACTCTTAGGTTAAAGACCAACATCCTTAAATAGGCTACAAAACCTTCCATGGATGACTTGGTCCCTGTCTTTCTAGCCCTGCCTCCTGCCTCTTTCCTTCTCATACTCTATACTCCAGGAACACAGGATTTCTTTCAGTTCTTCAAACATACTATGCTTCCTTCCATCTTGAGTTTTTTTCATATGCCCTGTGTCTGTATCACTGTTCTTCTACCTCTTTGCATTATCCTACCAATCCTTTAGAATTCAGCTCAAATAACACTTCATTGTAAAGTTGGGTGGAGACCTTTCATTATATGCTCTCTCACCACATCCTGTTTCTCCTTCATTACCCTCACAATTAATTTTTTTAAATTTTTTTAAGGTACAATTGATATACACTCTTATGAAGGTTTCACATGAAAAAAACAATGTGGTTACTACATTTACTGATATTATCAAGTCCCCATCCATCTCCCAATGCAGTCACTGTCTATCAGTGCAGCAAGATGCTGCAGATTCACTATATGCCTTCTCTGTGCTACACTGTTCTTCCCGTGACCCCCCACACCATGTGTACTAAACATAATACCCCTCAATCCCCTTCTCCCTCCCTCCCCACTCACCCTCCCACACCCCTCCTCTTTGGTAACCACTAGTTCATTCTTGGTACTCTCACAATTATAATGGTTGTTTCTCCTGCTGTAATGTAAGCAGAAACTGTTTGTCGTATTCACCACTGAATCCCCAGCACCTAACACTGTGTCATATGAGTAATAAATACTCAATAAATATTTGTTAATGAATCAACTAACCTATTTTAATCTGGCTTTTGCTTTCATGATTGATGTTTTCTTGTGTTTTTTTGGTTTTTTATTTCTGTATCTAAGATACAGAAGATTATTATGAGAAATGTCTTAATTTGGAGTAATTGAGTATTTAATTTGGAAATCTCTGGTATTAATCATCAGTATTTAATAGGGAGACCATGAGAAATGTTCTCCATCATTTTATAAAATTGTAAATAGTCCTAATCAAATATAATCGATTAAACAGTAACTTAGATTTTTCATAAGTCATTACAACTTATGTCAGGAGCCTCACTCATTTAATAATACGATGTGTGTTGAATAAACAAAAAAAAAATAAGAATTTAGTAGGTCATAAAAATTAAGTAGACATATGTCATATATGGATTTTCATAGGAATACTAATCATAGGAATAATCTGTACATGCTCCAGGAATGGCAAGAAATCCATTTGAGCTTTGGGAAACTAAGACAACTAGAGCTTAAACACAAACAAATAAACAAAAAACTGAGGCAAGGGAATATACACCAGTAAAGAATTCACTGACTAGTTTGCAGAGGGGATAATTCAGGAGTTTTTAAGTGTTAGGAAGGGAGCTTTATAATGGTTAGACCTATAACAATTGAAAACTATCACACCATAGAGGACAGAGTAAGTCCATAGGTTTGTATATGATTGATTAAAAGAAGTCCCATTGTTCAGCAGTTGAGCAAGTCTTCAGTTAGGTCCAATAATGGTCTGGTGTATGGGGTTCACTCAAAGTTCATGGTTGCTTATCCACTTAAGCTGGTTTGAAACATTTTAATGAAATACAACATTCAGTTTTGATGTAATCTAGGCAACTGCTGCTCTAAGTAGATTTTCTTTGTACAGCTTGAATGGATGGATAGAATTTGGACTGTCACAAGTAGGATAGGGAAGCATTTTTACTTCTATTCTTTAATTAGTTAGATTTATATTGTGTTTAACTTTAAAAGAAATTGAAACAATTGTTAAGATGAGGAAACCATTTCATTAGTTAGCTTTTGCTGTATAACAAAATACCTCAAAACTTAGTGTCTTAAATTAATAATCCTTTATTTGCTCATGATTTTGTGGATTGGTAACTTTTTGCTGGACTCATGGCTCCTTGGCTCCACATAGTTTTAATTGTATTCACTCGTGCATTGATTGCAGTCAGATGGCAGTTGATGGCGTCAATCAGTTGTCTATTAGTTAGCTGATGCAAAAGCAATGGAGGTGTCTGGATCATCATCCACAGGCTCATCTAGACTCATTTCTGAGGTCCTGGTGGAAGGGGTCTTAAGTTCAATAAAAGAGGGCAAACATTTTTCTTTCTTTCTCCCATTCCCCCCGATTTTATTGTGATATAATTGATAGAACTTTTCAACTTTCTGCTTGTGTCATGCTTGCTAATTGGCCAAAGCAAGTCACATGTCCACAGCTAGACAAAAAGGATGCAGAAATAGACTCTGCCTCTTAATGGAAGGAAGAACTCTGTTGATTGATGTAGACAGGCTCATGAGATAATACTGACTGCAGATGGAAAACTTTCATTCCTTGAATGAATTATACAATTATTTAAAATCTATTTGGATTGTGTTTGGATTTATATGTACTGTGGCCCTGAGGTACAAAACTGGATTTTGTTTCTAAACGTGGGCATTAATAAGGGAGAAAATGATGTCTCAGCTAAGACTTAAAGGATGTAGAGGATCTAGTCAAGCAAAGAGAGGGAAAAAAATATTTCAGGCAAATGAACATGTGACAGAAACCCAGTTTTGTTCATCAATTTTTGTGTTTTAGTGATCAATATGGAGGCACCCAGTACTTATTACCCAATATTGTTTACTTATCTGTTCTGCATTGGATCCTAAACTTTATAATGGCAGAATTTTTAGTAGGTGCCCAATAAATGTGTGTATAATGGGTGAATAAACAACTGATTTAGTAAGTGAATGAATAAATAATGAGGAAAAGCTAGAAGAAAGACACATAGAATAGAGAGTCGTGCAGGAATGCAGACAGAAATTGAGGTTTAATAATGTATAGAGAGAGGGAGGGAGGGAAGCAAGGAGAGAGGGAGAGAGGAGGAGGGAGAGAGGAACATAGAGAAAGAATAGAAGAGCAGAAAAGCCAGCAGAGGAAGAGACTGGGGCCTCTGAGGTAAGTGTTAGAGGTTAACTGCTTTGCAGTTTCATCAGAGGAACTTAGCACTTCCTTTCAAATACTAATTAATCTTCCAACAGTTCAGATACAGGCCCTTCTGCTATATTAAACCATTTGCCTATTTTTATTTTCAAACTTCAAAGTTTATATTTGAAAATTTATTTTCCTAGAGAATTTTGAAGGCCCTATATGGGCATAGAGTAATGTCTTAGATTTTAGTCGTTCCTTTTGGATTATTAGAGTTATATAATTGATCAGTTCTTACTGAAAATTCTTTTGCATTTCAAAATCTGTCAGATTGCTCAGTCTTTCTTCTTTGAAAGATGAAGACTGTCTCAAACACTATTAGAAAATTGTATTTGAAACCAGCAGTTATTTTTATTATTCTGAGTAATTTTGGTATTTCAATCAAAACCAGTTTGGGGGTTTTGAAGTCCTAATAAGGATGGTGAACACAGGAACAATTAAAATCACAATTCTTCGCCCCATTCTCAACCTGGGTGATGCAACTCTGAGTACAAGAGTAACTATTATTCTCAGAGGCTGTCAAGCTATTTAATCCTGAATAGATGAAAACTGGCAATATACAAATCAAAAGTTTTGTCCAAGGCATAAGAATTACCTGAGATGCTTGTTATAAATACAACTTCCAGACTCCCATCCTAGACCTGGAATCACAATTCTTCTAGACAATTTCTGTGTCGAGGGAAGAGGGAGGCCCACCACCTTAAGGCCTTAGTACATTCAACCTTGCTTTTAGGGTATTTGTGACACCTTCTAGGGCTATTCTTAGTTCTTCTTAAGTATAGTATTTAGTTGGGTAAATAAGGCCTACCTCTATAAAAAGTAAAATAATAGTAGAAGGCAGCCCATGATTAATGACAAATTCAGTAACTACTGGGGGGAGGAGGGATCACTGCAGAGTTGAATCAAGGAAGATTTCATGGAGAAAAGACATTACAAAGTTTAAATGAGGCTCTGAACTCTTGTATTCTGCCATTTGAACAGTCCCAGTTAAATCTAATGGTTTTAATTCAACGTCTTTCTACATCCTTCAGAGTATCCAAGATGAAGGAGAACATTAAACAGAAACAAGAACAAAGAGAATTAATAAATGAAGTCAAAGTCAAGGTGGCCAACATACGGAAACAGGCTCTGCAGGAGCAGTTCAATGAGTGGATTCTAGACCCCAAAGGAATGATTCCTATAATAGTGGTAAGAAAGAGGGAGGGTTATCTGTTAAGAGTAGGTGAGGTGGGTGATACGAGGGTGATTGCTAGAATCTGAGTGTAGGGCTAGAAGTTCCCCTCTAAATTCTCAGTCCTGCTGAGGTGAGTTGATTCTCGACCTGTCTGGTCCATGAGCATTGATTTCTTCATTTTCTCTTGAGCATTTAAAAAAAACTCTAAATAGATTTCTGAGATACTGACTGACTGTGGTTCCCAAACTCTTCATTACAGATAGACATCTTTTTCATTTGTTTGTTTATTTGTTTTTTTTTTTGTGTGTGTGTGTGTGTGACCCATTACTTCCATGTCTCTTACTTAGCTCAAGAAAACAACTATACTCTAAGAGTTAAATATTTTCCTTTAGGTCTATATGGATGTGAGAATACTTATTTGTTAGATACAACTCCAATGATATTTTTAGTTCAAAGTAAATTATTAAAAATAGGTCAAGGAAGACAAGCCACAGATTGGGTGAAAAATATTTGCAAAAGACATGTCTGATAAAGGACTATTATCTAAAATATACAAAGAATTTAGATTCTTTGTTGTTCCTTTTGGATTATTTGAGTTATATAATTGATCAGTTCTTACTGAAAATTCTTTTGCATTTCAAAATCTGTCAGATTGCCTTAGTCTTTCTTCTTTGAAAAATGAAGACTGTCTCAAACACTATTAGAAAATTGTATTTGAAACCAGCAGTTATTTTTATTATTCTGAGTAATTTTGGTGTTTCAATCAAAACCAGTTTGGGGGTTTTGAAGTCCTAATAAGGATGATAAACACAGGAACAATTAAAATCACAATTCTTTGCCCCATTCTCAACCTGTGTGATGCAACTCTGGGTACATCAGAGTTGTACAAATTAAGTCAACAATAAGAAAATGAACAACCAATTAAAAAATTCAGCAAAAGACCTGAGGAGAAATTTCACCAAAGTTATAGTATGGGAAATAAGCATATGAAAAGATGTTCCACATATGTCATCAGGGAAATGAAAATTAAAACAATAATGAGATAATGAGTTAGCACTACACACCCAACATATGACCAAAAACCTAAGTACTGGCAAAGAGGTGGAGCAACAGGATCTCTCATTCATTGCTGGTGGGAGTGCAAAATGGTACAGCCATTTTGGAAGACAGTTTGGCAGTTTCATTTAAAACTAAACATAATCTTCCCATATGATCCAGCCACCATACTTCTTGGTATTTACCCAAAGGAGTTGAAAACTTATGTCCATATAAAAATCATCATGTGGATGTTAACAGCAGCTTTATTCATAATTGCCAAGACTTGGAAGCAACCAAGATGTCCTTCAGTAGGGGAACAGATAAATAAACTGGTACAATCAGATGATGAAATATTATTTAGTGCCAAAAAGAAATGAGCTATCAAGCCATGAGGAGACATGGAATGACCTTAAGTGGATATTCATAAGTGAAAGAAGCCAATCTGAAAAGGCTACATACTGTATGGTTCCAAATATGTGGCATTTTGGAAAAGGTAACATTGTGGAGACAGTACAAAGTTCAGTGGTTTCCATCAGTGGGAGGGGAAGGAGGAATGAATAGGTAGAGCATAGAGGATTTTTAAGGTGAAGAAACAACTGTATGATAACATAATGATGAATACATGTCATTGTACATTTGTCAAAAGCAGCAGAATGTACAACAAGAGTGACTTCTAATGTAAACTATGGACTTTGGTTTATGATGGTTCAATTTAGGTTCATCAATTGTCACAAATGTATTATTGTAGTGGGATATGTTGATAGTGAGGAAAGCTGTGTGTATGGTAGGGAGCTGGGAGTATTGGGGGACTTTGTGTACTTTCTGCTCAAATTTTCTGTGAACCTTAAACTGCTCTAAAAAATAAGGTCTATTTTTTTAAGTACTCTGGAATTTCATTTTTTAGTAATTGAATGAAGAATTAGAGTATTTTTTAGATTGTCAAACTGGTTGCCAAAGGGACTTAGCTCCATCATGCTCAGTATCTGAAGGTTGCTAGAAGTGTCCCTGGAGTGGGCAAAACGGGGTGATTCTCAGCCTCGTACTTCTCACATCAAAAGGTTGGGAATCATTCAGAGCATATATACAAAATTACCTTGTATACCTTGAAGTATTCTATAAATGGAATGTTAATTATTACTATTTCTGTCTCTGTGTTAGAAGAATTACTCAGGACTTAAACTGAAGGTCTATAAATGGTTTTTAGCCTAAGATACTAAATATATGGTAATTGAGAAGTAATATAGGATCTCTTTTTCTTTGATTTGCAGATTCAGAATGTTCTTTATGAATTTTTTCAAAGTTCAAATTTCCAGCTTGGTAAGCCTGTCTATTATGTTAGTATTTCTTTTTTTTTCTTCTCCTTTTTAGAGGGAGAGGGATGCTGAATTAAGATGAAGAGTCAATATTGAGATAGATGTTATTGAAAGCTCTTACAGATGTACTTAAGCTCTTTTGCTCTTTCCAGATTAAGAATGCAGAAAAGACCAGAAACAATCAGTGATTTTCTATCCTTTCAGTCAGGTGCCCCATTTTATTATAAATATTCTGTAACACCCCTTTATTATCCTATCAAATTCCTAGAAAGCATTGTGTACATACACTTTAGAAAGAGTTTTAAAAGAAAGATACAGTGTTGTGACCATGCTATAAAGGAGAAATACAAGGGAAGTCATAAGAAAGTTATATGTGCTGTATTTCAATATATAAATGTTTGGTTGCAGCTTCACCAGATTTTGATCCTACTTATAATGAATGTGTAGATATAAGAAAAGCAAAATATATCAAATTGAGCATTTTCTTTGTATTTGACATTTTTAAATAAGGGCAAATGAATGGACTTGTATACATTATACATAGAATTTCCACGAATAGGAGAGCTACAAATGCAGACTGATACAGGTGTCAACATTGTCTGACACAATTTGTGATATTACCTCCCATTACATAATTTTCTGAGATGGTGAACAACTCTTAGTAAAGTTCCAGAATGAAGCAAATCCTCTCTCAAATTTTCATAGTGGTCACATTCTTGGAAAATTCAACAGCAAAAAATACTCTGTGTTTATATTTTAAATAGAGTTAGGTTGTAGACTCAAAATTATTTGAAGCAGATTTTTCACTTACTTGAATTTCTGGCAGGAAGGGGAAAGTCTTTATTATGCATGAATTGCAGAGTTGTCACTACCCTTACTCCCCACCACTGTGGCAATAAAAACTAATTTTAGCTGATGACTCTCATCATATTCTCATCACAAACCTTTCCCCTGAGCTCCAGACCCTATTTGAAAAGATCTACAAGATGAATGGCTAAATAAAAAAAAAGCAAGTTGCAGTTCAATGTGATCATATTTATGTATATCTTACTCCCCACCACTGTGGCAATAAAAACTAATTTTAGCTGATGACTCTCATCATATTCTCATCACAAACCTTTCCCCTGAGCTCCAGACCCTATTTGAAAAGATCTACAAGATGAATGGCTAAATAAAAAAAAAGCAAGTTGCAGTTCAATGTGATCATATTTATGTATAGAGAAACAAAAGATACAAACACACACACACACACACACACACACACACACACACACACACAGATGAACATGCATAGAAAGTTTGCTGGAAGGGTGATAAACTGTTGACAAGTGGTTACCTCCAGGGCAGAGGGGAGTGAGAGTGCTTGTAGAGGGAAAGGTAGGTTTTCATGTTTTGCCACTTAATATTTTTGTTTATTGAATCTTTTACTAAAAGAACTTATGCATATATTACTTATTAAATTTAGGAAATGTTAAAGACAAATGAAGTATTTAAAAAGGAAGTTCATAGAAGTGTTATGTTTTAGGGCTTGCTAGGATAAACACCAGCATAAACTAAACACAGATGTTGTAGTCTTTTATACTACCAATGTGCATATGTGTTTCTGCTTTATCTGGACTTGCTCTTTAAAAATGAAGGCATGTTATTTTCAGTATTTGCTTGGTTAAATAAAAGCCAGGAAAAATTTTTTTGTAGTAATTGGAATGTTACCCAACTATATGTTACTTAGTTTATTGCAAATTTTGGTGGACATTAAGAAATAATTTTATGTTCTTCTTTTAAAGCACTGTAATATAAATATAAAATATGAACGTGTTACCACCATACTAACTAGCAAATAACCTTTATTCCATAATTAGAACCATGTTGCAAAAAACTGGATATTGCTGATTCAATGGAACCAAGATTGAACAAAATGGAATTTGCAGAAGTAAGAAGTTACATTATTCATAATTTGATTCAAATTATTTTGTCAGTTTCAATTATCTTTTGGTGTATTTTACATATAAATTAGCTTAGAATTAAATGAAAGCAAATAACTTTATTATCAATTCACCCGTTAAAATATTTTAACCCCTCTGAAATTAGCTTGCATTTTATAATCAAAGGCATCTTACAGTTTCTTTCAATCAGTGATGCTCATGATATGAAAGTATGAAAAACTTCCATTCACATTTTGAGTAAGATCAAGAAAAAACAGCTTCTTATATTCAGTGATATCTGGTTATACAAATAATAATGAGATCTAAAACTTACAAAGTATTTTATATGGGCCAGGCGCTGTCCTAAGTTATCCTTATATTAACTCAGGTAATCCTTTCAGCAATCTTTATTCCTACTTTTATACATGAAGGCTCTGAGAAACAGAAATGTTAAGTAACTTGTATAGGTCTCACAATTAGTGAAGTTGGAGACATTTGTATTCAGGCAGTTTGGTTCTGAAGTCTTTATAATATTGCATCTGAGAAAGTATGAGTCTATGATAATAGAATAAACAAAAGAAGCAATTTAATGGTACCAGAGTCCTAAATCTTCTATAGCCTACTTTTATGTTTTTACATGTCTTCCCTCTAATTCCGTTTATTTTTCTCTGGGTCACAGAGTCAAGGTAACTTATTCCTTCTCTCCTATATCCTTGCTCCACTGAAAGTGATGAGTTTGCACGGTGTACAACTTCAAGGTTCTGTATGAAGGATCTCTGGAATCTTTCCTGAAATGATTACCATATAGATAAGAATCTGGCAATCCCTAGTTTTTTGTTCTGTGGTTTCTTAGATCATGTATTTCAAACTAATGACCAAAGTCGTTTATATTTCCCCTGTTACCCAGAGCCCAAACTCTGAACCACCTCCTTATCTTCATTCCACTCCCCAAGCCAAAATTTTCTCTGCCTTAAATCAAAGAGGGCCAAGTTCCGGACAACTAGGTACAGCCCCTTGCCCCAGTGCCCGCTGGAATTTTTCAAGCTAGCCAATCCTAAGGTGTTTACCCTGCCTGCCTTGCCTTTCCTGAGTGAATCCCAATAAAGGCCTTCCCCTTACTCTTTCTTCTACCTCCTGAACAAAACCTGGTGCTTTGCCTGTGGCTTTGCATTTGTGTGGCATGTTCCCTTCTCTTGGAAACTCTAAGTAATAAAAATTCTTCCAATGGTATTAGCCTTTCCATGTGGTCACTCAGTCATCTCCATAAATTAAAATCCCATGGGTACAAATATGACAAATTACTCAAAGAAAAATATGCAGAAGAATAAACCATAGTATTAAAATGGTTGAGAAAAAGTCAGGCCTTATCACTTCAATGTAGTAAGAAACATAACTTACACATTTCTTTGCAAGACACTGATTCAAAGTGCAACTTGCCTTTTTCTCTTGCGCTAGTTTCCTTAAAAGTGGGCAATTTAGAAAATTTTCTTATTTTTTAAATATGAAAGTAATATATGAATTTTTTGATATATGGATTATATCTCAGTAAAAAAGTCACAGATTCATTCTAGAAAGTTTAAAATAGAATATTATAAAGAAGGAAAAAATTAATCCCTAATTCATTTTAATGATATTTAGTGGTTATGTAATATTCGGTATATGGTTGTATTATATTTATTTAATCATTTATTTTTTGTTGGTCATTTGCCTTCTTATTAGTCACTATAAATATGATAGGATTGATATTTGTATTATAAATCTTTGTTTACAGCTTGATATATTATGTCTCTATAGATACATGGGTATATAGCAATGTAAATGATAATCCATTACAAAATTTTAATTACTGAAAAATATTTAATTATACTTGATTCTGAGAGAAGAAAGAGAAATTGAAGTAAAATTAGGGGAATTAATGAAATTGAACTTACTTTCACAAAAGTTATTCTAAGATCATTCTAAGAAAAGATTGTACGACAAAGACCAGAAAAGGTTGCATTTAAAAAAAAAATCACATATTTCAATTATAGAAATAACATTTGACATCCTACTATAAAAGGTGAAGGTATTTAATATTTCCTCACCTTTTCCTATCTTTTTTCCTTGTTTTATTTCCCAATTTTAATCATTTTACAATTTTTATTTTATCCAATTTTACACCATTCACTTTTTCTATAATTACAGTTCCCATAAATGGATTTAATTTTTAAATTTAATATTTAAATGGATTTGAGGTCCACTTCCTGTCCTTTTACCATGGCTTTGCTATTCCTGAGTTACTTATTTTGGTTCATCTCTTAATTGGCTGAGTCTATTGTAAATTTGTTTTGTTTTTTGCTTTTTTCTGGGAAGGTCACATGGTGCTATATTTTCTAAGTTCTTTTATGTTGAAAATGCCTGCATATTGCCTCTAAAACTATACCTTGGATGGGTCACAATTGATTTTATGAGACTATGCCTTTTCTAAAACTATACCTTGGATGGATCACGTTTTCTTTTATAATTTATAATTGAGTCACATTTCCTTTTCAACTCAAAACAATATAGACAGTGCTTATTTGTTTACTGATACTGAATATTTTGAAATCTGATGTTTTTCTCCCTTTCTTCTTTCATTCATATTGATTTTAATTCAATAAACATATACATATGCATACATATATACATGCATACATATATATGTATATCCATATATGATATTGTATGCATCTGTGTGTGTATATATATAAATATATATGTATATACATACAATGAAAGGAGAAAATGCATAAGGGTGATATACCCAATAATTCTTGACAGGAACTCATTAGTGTTCTATATATTACCTTTGTAGATATCTGTTTATGCACGTATGTGTGCGTATGTATATGTATATAAATAAAATTTTGTTTTAATAGATGTTTGGGCTATTAATATTAGTTTTCCAGACATTGCCCAAATTATGATCCTGAAATACAAACAGTACATATTCAGGCACTTTCACCATAGAAAATAGCTGTTGCACCAACCCAATCCAAGAAAGTATTTCTTGAATAGAAATACATATTGAAAATATTTAATTATCTGATCAATAAACTATTGAACCATCCAATATGACCTATGACATAGAAGTAGTGTTTAAAACACTTTTAAAGAGTTTTGCTTTGAGGTTATTTTTTTTAGCACTTGTTTAGTGAAACTGGAAGAAAATGAAATCATAAATGTTGGGCTTAAAGTCAAGATATTACACACAGGTGCCGTCCAGTGGAGATACTATGCCATGCAATCGCCTCTGATCATTTGTGATGAGCAATGTAATTAGCATTCAGAGTGGAGCATTTTTGGAGAAAACAGAGTCATTGAGTAATATTTAGTATAGAGAAAAAGACAAGTAGAGAGATTGAGTGGTCACAGATGCCTCCATATGCATATCATTTTCCTAGTGTATCTGTTTTCCAGTGGATAAATGAACAGCTGATGATCTTTTTGTTGACTATAACCTCTCTTACTTGTCATGTGTTTTATTCTAATAAATGAAGACCCAAAGTAACTATTTTAGAATATTAACTTCTAGTCTCTTAGTATTAAGTACATATTGAATATTTACTCTCTGTGCTAGGAGAGATGTCAAAATTAAGAATTTCATTTCTTACCCTGAAGGACCAAGTAATGCATTGTTGAATGGGAGTGTGACTGTGACTATATACAGGCATTATGTATATATAGAGACATTATTTATATACATTATATATATACAGAGACATTATTTATGTCTCTGTGTATGTGTACATGCATGCATATATACACACACTGGATGGAAAGGGATTAATATTCAAGGAATGGAAGAATCAAAATATAAACGAATCAAGGACACATACCAATAAAAAGATAATTTCAAAGCAATGAGCATGTGCCAAGCATGATCAATTATTATATTCATTGCTGCCAAGGGATGCATAGTAAAAGAAAAATGAGACTTAAGTGGGGCAGGTTTCATGTAGGAAACTTACCTGGTTGTCATGATTTTTAAACTTCTTCCACCTGCCACAGCTTGTATCTCCTTGCTGTAAAAGGAATCTTAAGAACAATGTTGTTGTTTTTTTACCAACTATAAAATAAGTCACAGGGATGAAAAGTACAGCGTAGGCAATTTAGCCAATAATATTGTAGTGACTTAATATGGTGACAGATGGTAACTACACTTATAGTGGTGAACATTTCATGATGTATGTAATTGTCAAATCTCTATGTTGTACACCTGAAAATAATATAATATTGTATGTTAACTATTCTTCAGTAAGAAAAAAGAACAATGCTTTAAACACTTATGTACTGACAGGCAATTTAAAATGCAGAATGTACTGGTTTATTTGGGATTTTTGTTTTAGAAGTTGAATACTAAAACACATAAGACATGTTTTGGGAGAGTGTCAGGTTTGTTTTGAACTCAGAACACTGGTTCTGAAAAGACAACTCATTCCAGGAGACAAATGTACCATTTGTATCATTTTAACACTGATGCTGAGTTGTTCAAGTAGATATTGTGTTTCCTACACAAGTTTGAAAAGGAACAGAAGTCTTAACCCTTAGATTTAGGTGGAATCCTTTTAGCAAAACTGACTGCACTGTCTTGTGTTCAAGCCAGGAAAAAGGGTGCTGATAGGTGGATCCTTCCTGAAATTCTCTGATTTCTCTCTTACAGGGAATCTGCTCTTTCATTTTATCATTTATTGGTTAATTTGTTTATCAACAGAAGAAAACCATTTCAAGTATATTTGTTTTATCTAAACATTATTAATGTGGTTATAGAAAATGTAGTTAACTTTTTATATAGGGGGGTTCTTTTTAAATTTACTAGACTTTCTGAGCTCTTCAAATTCCCTTCATTTTGATAAAGAATTCTCCAAAAATTTAGACATGCTTATCTCTAAGACTTCTTGAGAAGTCTTCTTGAGAAGTTACCCCCAGGTAACTTCTTGAGAAGTCTTAGAGATAAGCATGTCTAAATTTTTCTTGGCATGTCTTAAGGCAAAGGTTACCTTGAATTTTTACAGTGCCTATAATTTTTCAATAGCAGTCCCACAAATGATTGCATGCCCTTCTCCAGAAAAAGTATCTATAAGTTGATTTTTTGGAACTTGGAACCCATTTTCCAAATAGAAACAATATTTTGTATAGGGGCTTGGGTCCTTGGTTTCCAATGTGCCTGAAATGTAGCTCTTAATAAGAATGACTATTTCTGTGGGGAAATGCTCTCTGAAGAAGATGGTACCACAATGCATTACTAGGGAAAGGAACTTTCTTATCTCTAAACCATTGGTGATGACTAAATACAAGACCTTCAGTGTGACAGGGATTCATGGTGTGAAGGGTAAGGAGAGCCTAAGGTAGAAGAGAGCCTTCAAAGACCCCTGAGTGAGGAGCTGAGGGAGGCGGACCTTTTATCAATGCAGACCCTCCTTTCCCACCTTTGGGATTGCAGGGACTGACACCCTTCTATTTCTAGTGATACTATTGTTTGGCTCTGGCCTGGGTTATATTCTTTCCCTGATGTGGTTTATAGTCCTGTAAACTCATATAAAGTATAGCTTTTCAAACAGGAATGAATCCTTTTAAAGGACTATGGTCTAGAGGAGTGTGGCCTGCTTCTCAGTTCTGCTTTCTCTAGTTCTGCTCATGAGAATCTTGACTCAAATTGTCATTTGTATTCACCATTCCCATTATTCATAACAAACATTTAGATGTTCTTTATCTTGTGATTATGTAAATACAACAAATGGATTGAGAACATGTGAATGAATACATATGATAGAATATGAACTCTATATATATTTGGTCTATGTGTGGTTGTCCCAATGGACTGGTAATGGAAAGAAGCCTTAGAAACAGTTAAAGGCTATAAAGTTTCTTTCATGGCAAAGGATGCAGATACTTACAGAGACAGTTTGTTATATCAAGCAGGTTATAACACAGCATGCTTCCAAACAGAGGCTCCCCAAAGTTCCCCACAGGAATTGAATTATTGGCATAGATAAAGGTATAGGGTTTCAAATCATCCTGGCTTGCCTAAAACTGAATGTTTTCTCCTATACATGGGACTTTTATTCTAGAAAGAAAACTTTCTTGGTCAATTTATCTAGCTCAAAAGGAAACAAGTAATGGCTACAGAGAGCTTCTTATATGAAATACTTTTGCTCTGTACATACATAGGATGCTCTCAGTGAGGTAACTGCTATAATATCCATTTCACAATGAAGAAACTGAGAAGTTCAGTGACTCACCCACCCAAATGACCTCATTTTAATTACCTCTTTAAAGACTTTATCTCAAAATACAGTCATATTTTGAGGTACTGGGGTTAGGCCTTCAACATGTGGATTTGAAGGTACAAAACTCAGCCCACTACATTGCCTAAGCTACCTTTCACCAGGTAGGGGGTAAAATCATGTGTATCAGTCTTTCATTTTTATTATTATTGGATATTAGATGAAGCCTTTGTTTAATTCATTTGTTAAGCAGTTTTAAAAAATCTGAAGAGGTAAAGTATATTTCTGCTTTGTTGAGTGCATAATTGTTTTTTAAAGTTCTCTCTAAGAAGCTAGTTTTCTGCCTGAATGTTATATGAACAACCACTTCTTTAATGATAGGTAGCAAATATAATCTATATATTTCAGTATATTATAGTCCCTTTTTACAGATATTCCTGAAAACATTATTTATTACTAGGGCTTATAAATACAATTTAGAAGTGAACACCTAAGATAGATAATTTCCAAACATAATTTTATTTCTATTGCTCTTATATCACCTACTTCATTAACTCTCCAGTATGTCTGCAATTAAATAAATGTGAATCCCAATGGCCCAGAGCTGTAGAATCTAACAGTAGCTACCAACCTGTTAAATGTGGCATTTGCCACATTATCAACATTTTGGTTTTCAAGTCAGAAAGGAAAAGCCCAGAATTTATTACACTGGAACCCAACATACAGAGACAAGCTCAACTAAGCACATTTCAAATGTTTAACAGCTCAAGAGCTATTTAACCGAAGGACAATAGTAGTTAATTATATTATTAAATTAATCTAAGCAATTATTTCAATTTATGGATATTAATTGATTCATTCCTTGTGAGATGTGAAAGCACAAAGGCTACCCATATCTTTTCACTTTTTCTGTTTTTACAAGAGACACTGGCGAACTGCTATAATTGTTCTATTTCAAATTTGATTTCTTGTTGAGTTGGCAACTGGTAGTCATACAGTCCACAGAACACACTCACTCAGAAAACCCAAAGGCTATAAATCCAGAATGTTGAAGTGTCTCTTAGATAAACAGTTAAACTAATTTTGATTTAATAGCATTCCCACAACTAGAAAACTTGTACGGCTTTGTGGTCAATTCCCAAAAGCTTAATATAAAATAGGATGGTTCTTTTCATGAATCTGCAATATTTTTCAGCATTAGAGGATTGAGCCACATTATTTCCAGAGAATATAAATTATTCAACCTTATTAGTAATTTAGAAAAGTATCTATTATTGAAGCAAAAAATGATTAAGAGTTGAACAATAGTATCTTAGGATACTAGACTAATTAGGACCAGTTGCTCCAGATCATCTAGTTCAATGGTTCTCAAACTTTGATGAGTATAAGAATTACCTAAAGAGCTTTTTAAAACATAGATTCAAGGTCCCACCCCCAGAGTTCCTGACTTAGTAGGTCTGGAGTAGGAGTACCAAATATGCATTTCTAACAAGCTCTCAAGGGACCACATTTTTGAGAACCACTGACCTCATTGAGTTTCTTCTTCAGCTGAGATGACTTTTATTCTAGGAAAAAACCTTTCTTGGTCAATTTTTTATCTAGCTCAAAAGGAAATAAGCAATGGCTACAGAGAGCTTATTATATGAATACCTATGCTCTACATACATAGGATCCTCTCCATGACTCAGTGAGATAACTGCTATAATATCCATTTCACAAATGAAGAAACTGAGAAATTCAGTGACTCAATGAAGTTACTTAACCAAGCCAGTAAAATTAGGAACTTGCATTTGAATCCAGACAGGCTCCAAAATATGAGTTCTTAACCATTACACTATTCTGTTTCCCCAGGTAACAGATAAGAACTGTGCTCATTGATACATCAAGAATAATGATGTATAGCACAGAGAAGACAAGTAGTGACTCTATAGCATCTTACTATGCCGATGGACAGTGACTGTAATGGGGTATATGGTGGGGACTTAATGACATGGGAAATATAGTAACCACAAGAATAATGACAATTAGGTGGCTTAGGCAGCTAAGAAAACTAAATATTTAGAAAAGCTCTTCTGCTCTGCTTTATATTTTCCTCTTATTTCTAAGGCAGTTGAATAATGGTTTGTGATTCATTAGGATGGATTCAAACTAATGTATCTCTTACATAATACATTCTAAATTTTCCTAGATTATATTAATGAGGAAGTGAAATATTAACTATATCCTTCATTCAAAATTATGTGTCAGTGAAATATGCCAACAAAATGTTCCGTTTTAAACTGTTTTAATTACTATTCTTTAATTGTAAGAAATAGAAACCAATCTGAGGTAATGTAAATGAAAATGAAAAATGTAGAATCCAAGGGCAGGAATATGATCTGGCTTCAGGAAGAGATTAAAATGGGGACTTGGTAAACATCAAGACTCTTTTCTCTCTGCTTTTTGATTCATCTGTCTCTATGTACAGTCTTCTTTCACTGCATTCTCAGTTCACATGGAGGAATCTGGCCACCCAACAGTTCTTAAGTTAACATTCACAGGTCCTGCCCCTCTGACACTAACTGGCCATTCCCCCATCCTAATTACCAATTCTCAGTGGAGAGAATCTGAATGGCTTTTTTTTAGGGTAAGTATCCTTCCCTACCTAGTCCGATCATTTAGGACTATTGAAGTAGGGTCATTCAGTACAAATTTGGCTACCAGTATAAATTTGACTGTGGCTGTGCTTGGGGCAGAGGAGGAAATCATTGATTTGTGAGTTAGGCTAACACTTTAAGAGGAGTCCACTTAGAAACTCTTCCAGTGCTTGATCCACTTCTATCACAAGCTATCATAGTCAGGTGTAGATCAAGAAGGTAATGTTCCTGACCTGTTATATTAGCAAAACCCAGATGGCAATATATACTGATTATGAGGCTGAGGAGAAAGAGCCAATCTTACCTTAGTTGTGGGAGCAGAAAAGGGAAAAGGCCTAATGTCAAAACCTACTGCAAATACAGATGAATTTACGCTCTGAGCTAGAAATCCCATTTCCAGGAATCTGTTGAACAGGGGTCAAGAGAAATAGCCCAAGAATATAAATGTTTTCAGACTCCACACTTCCAAGAGAAAAAAAATCACAAAGGATGCCTTATTGCAATATGAGAAGACAAAAAAACATCCATAATCTCCATCTCTTGCACTCCAATAGTTAAATGTAGGCAGTCTTGGAAAACACATGGTCTTATACCCCATACATCAAAAAGAAAAACTGCATCCAATTTTAGAGCTCTTAATTTACAGGCAACATCTTATGACTGCTATTTCATACTGTGAGGCAAAAATTCTGCCCTACATAATGCTGATGTGATCTACAGGGTTGCTCCAAAAATATCTAGCCCCACTGCCATATGGTGCCGGGGACTCTACTGATCACTTTTTTTCTGAATCACAGCCTGTAGAACAGCACTAACATGAAAATCCTTTATCTAAGTGACAAGCAAATGATATGGGGAAAAAATTGCCACCAATTATTTCATGCACAACTGGATCCTTGGGAAAATCCAAATAAAGAGCACAGTTTAAAATCTATCATTTATCTTCTTTCTCTCTGCAGTACATCTCTTCACAAATTTCAGACTTCAGAAATGAAATGTTTGAGGAACTCCTTAAGTACCTTTGCCACTGTGCAGATGAATTCCGGGAGGTCATAAAAGCTGACATGCAGAGACAGATGTTTGCTGAACTCTTCCTATATTGTGATCTTGGGAAGGTAGGGTAAGACCCTTAAAGCAGTACTTCTCAAACTATTTGTTGCAAAGGGGAGCATTTATGATGTTGTTGATGGTGATGTTTTAATTTCCAATCTGTTGTGGACTCATTCTCAATAAAAATGGAAAATTGGGGGTGGGGGGAAAGGCATACAATAACAATAGCTACATAAGCCTAGAGAAGTATTCATAACAAAATATGTGGTTACCTGGAATGAGGCTCAGAATTCCCAATTTGAGTGGTCCTTAAAGACTTTTGAAGGCAGAAATTCTTCTCTAAGATTTATTCAATTGAAGTTTTTAGACTTAACTATATAGCATGAAAAATCAATACTAATTCTTAGGAGATTCTATCTTAAAAAATACATCAGGGGCCTTGCTTTGTTGAGTGATATTCTAAGTGTTAACCAGGATCTATCTGGAATCCATAGTGCCATCTACTAGGTTCATTTTTCAGCCAATAATGTCCCAAACAGAACTTCTACAGATACAAAATAAATAATATGTGAAATTACAGCTACCACATGGGATTAGCATCAGATTAGATACTGTAGAGGAAAAGATTAGTAAACATGAAGACATAGCAATAGAAACTATTCAAACTGAAGCAGAAAGGAAATATGTGGGTAGATATAAAAGACTTTCCCCCTCATTAAAAAATTCATTTAAGTAATAATTTACTCTTTGCAACTAATAATAATGTATTTTAAAGTTTATAACATGTAGCAGGGGGAAAGAGATGGCAGCATGAGACGGGAGGCAGAAATCTCCTCCCAAAACCACATATAACACAAAAATACAGCAAATACAACTAATCCTGAAAGAGGAACCTGAAAACTGCAGAACAAACTGCCTACACCTGGGGAAAACAGAAGACCTCACAGAAAAGGGAAAAGTAGCAAAGCCACTATATGGTGGGACCCAAGCCTTTCACTGACCCCAGCGCATAGGTGGGAGGAAGAGTAACAGAGCAGGGATGGAGTAGAAACCTAGGACTGCTAAACACCCACCCATGGAGATCTGCTCTGGGAACATGAACCCACATTACATGGTGCTCTGGAGATTAGAGGGGGTTGGAAAGTAAAGACAGGCAGAATACTCAGAGAGACTGAGATTCTAGCCACTTGTGGAAAACACGTACTGACAACCAACCACTCCAGGACAAAAGAAAGGTGGGTGCTTTGAAAGACATCCCAACAGTGAGAAGGGTGCTAAAGGGGCAAGGATTATACACAGCTCAGTGCTTAGGAGAAAAGACAGATGGACAAAATCATCCTGGCACACTCAACCCAACAGGTTGGGAATGTTCAGGAGCTTCAGACACTCCATCCCTCTGGCTGGCAATGCAGCACCAAGAGCCCCCACTGCAGTACACAGCCTACCGCTCCTTCCTCCCAACAGGCACAAGCCCACACACCTGCTGCCCCGTGCCATGATGCCAGGCCAGCCAAAGTGTGGCCCCACTTATGGCCGCTACAGGGGTGTAATGCGGAGTCTCCTCCCTATGCTTTCAGCCCACTGGACTTGGCAGTGGAGGCAGGCACTGCAGCAGGAGAAGCAAAGAGCTTTTTCCTCCCAGTAGGCACCAGCAGAGTGTGCCTGTGACCCCCAACATTGCTCCAAGTGCTGGGAAGCTCCTGAGAGTAGAGCTCCTGAGCACTAGGGGGTGCCAAACACATAGTGATTATCCCATAGTAATCATTAGAATTATGAAATGGCAAAAGAATTTTGTCCAAACAAAAATCCCACTAACACCAGGAAGAGGGCTAAGTGAAACTGAACTCACCAATCTTCTTGATACAGATTCCAAAATAAAAATCATAAACATGCTCATTGAGCTACAGAAAAATAGTCAAGATCTCAGGGAGGACTTCAAGAAAGAAAGAGAAACTTTGAAAAATACAGTATCTGAAATGAAACATACATTGGAGGGATTTAAAAGCAGATTAGATAAGGTAGATGAGAGAGTAAACAAAATAGAAATTAGAGAACAGGAAAACAAAGAGGCTGAGGCACAGAGAGAAAAAAAGATCTCTAGGAATCAAAGAATAAGAGAACTGTGTGAATAATCCAAATGGAACAATATTCCCAGTACAGGAGTACCAGAAGAAGAAGAAGAGAGAAAAAAGGATAGAAAATCTCTTTGAGGAGGTAATTGCTGAAAACTCCATTAATCTGGGGAAGCAAATAGTCTCTCAGTTCGTGGAAGTGCAGAGATCTCCCAACACAAGGGACCCTAGGAAAACAACACCAAAACATATAATAATTTAAATGGCAAAGATCAAGGACAAGGAGAGAGTATCAAAAGCAGCCATAGAGAGAAAAAAGATCATGTGCAAAGGAAAGCTCATCAGGCTACCATCAGACTTCTCAGCAGAAACTTTATAGGCCAGAAGGGAGTGGTATGATATATTTAATGCAATGAAACAGAAGGACCTCTAACCACAAATACCCTACCCAGCAAGATTATCATTTAAATTCGAAGCAGGGATTAAACAATTTCTAGATAGGCAAAATTTGAGGAAATTTACCTCCCACAAACCATCTCTACAGTGTATTTTGTAGGGACAGCTATAGATGGAAGTGCTCCTAAGGCTAAATAGAAGACAAAAAAACATCCATAATCTCCATCTCTTGCACTCCAATAGTTAAATGTAGGCAGTCTTGGAAAACACATGGTCTTATACCCCATACATCAAAAAGAAAAACTGCATCCAATTTTAGAGCTCTTAATTTACAGGCAACATCTTATGACTGCTATTTCATACTGTGAGGCAAAAATTCTGCCCTACATAATGCTGATGTGATCTACAGGGTTGCTCCAAAAATATCTAGCCCCACTGCCATATGGTGCCGGGGACTCTACTGATCACTTTTTTTCTGAATCACAGCCTGTAGAACAGCACTAACATGAAAATCCTTTATCTAAGTGACAAGCAAATGATATGGGGAAAAAATTGCCACCAATTATTTCATGCACAACTGGATCCTTGGGAAAATCCAAATAAAGAGCACAGTTTAAAATCTATCATTTATCTTCTTTCTCTCTGCAGTACATCTCTTCACAAATTTCAGACTTCAGAAATGAAATGTTTGAGGAACTCCTTAAGTACCTTTGCCACTGTGCAGATGAATTCCGGGAGGTCATAAAAGCTGACATGCAGAGACAGATGTTTGCTGAACTCTTCCTATATTGTGATCTTGGGAAGGTAGGGTAAGACCCTTAAAGCAGTACTTCTCAAACTATTTGTTGCAAAGGGGAGCATTTATGATGTTGTTGATGGTGATGTTTTAATTTCCAATCTGTTGTGGACTCATTCTCAATAAAAATGGAAAATTGGGGGTGGGGGGAAAGGCATACAATAACAATAGCTACATAAGCCTAGAGAAGTATTCATAACAAAATATGTGGTTACCTGGAATGAGGCTCAGAATTCCCAATTTGAGTGGTCCTTAAAGACTTTTGAAGGCAGAAATTCTTCTCTAAGATTTATTCAATTGAAGTTTTTAGACTTAACTATATAGCATGAAAAATCAATACTAATTCTTAGGAGATTCTATCTTAAAAAATACATCAGGGGCCTTGCTTTGTTGAGTGATATTCTAAGTGTTAACCAGGATCTATCTGGAATCCATAGTGCCATCTACTAGGTTCATTTTTCAGCCAATAATGTCCCAAACAGAACTTCTACAGATACAAAATAAATAATATGTGAAATTACAGCTACCACATGGGATTAGCATCAGATTAGATACTGTAGAGGAAAAGATTAGTAAACATGAAGACATAGCAATAGAAACTATTCAAACTGAAGCAGAAAGGAAATATGTGGGTAGATATAAAAGACTTTCCCCCTCATTAAAAAATTCATTTAAGTAATAATTTACTCTTTGCAACTAATAATAATGTATTTTAAAGTTTATAACATGTAGCAGGGGGAAAGAGATGGCAGCATGAGACGGGAGGCAGAAATCTCCTCCCAAAACCACATATAACACAAAAATACAGCAAATACAACTAATCCTGAAAGAGGAACCTGAAAACTGCAGAACAAACTGCCTACACCTGGGGAAAACAGAAGACCTCACAGAAAAGGGAAAAGTAGCAAAGCCACTATATGGTGGGACCCAAGCCTTTCACTGACCCCAGCGCATAGGTGGGAGGAAGAGTAACAGAGCAGGGATGGAGTAGAAACCTAGGACTGCTAAACACCCACCCATGGAGATCTGCTCTGGGAACATGAACCCACATTACATGGTGCTCTGGAGATTAGAGGGGGTTGGAAAGTAAAGACAGGCAGAATACTCAGAGAGACTGAGATTCTAGCCACTTGTGGAAAACACGTACTGACAACCAACCACTCCAGGACAAAAGAAAGGTGGGTGCTTTGAAAGACATCCCAACAGTGAGAAGGGTGCTAAAGGGGCAAGGATTATACACAGCTCAGTGCTTAGGAGAAAAGACAGATGGACAAAATCATCCTGGCACACTCAACCCAACAGGTTGGGAATGTTCAGGAGCTTCAGACACTCCATCCCTCTGGCTGGCAATGCAGCACCAAGAGCCCCCACTGCAGTACACAGCCTACCGCTCCTTCCTCCCAACAGGCACAAGCCCACACACCTGCTGCCCCGTGCCATGATGCCAGGCCAGCCAAAGTGTGGCCCCACTTATGGCCGCTACAGGGGTGTAATGCGGAGTCTCCTCCCTATGCTTTCAGCCCACTGGACTTGGCAGTGGAGGCAGGCACTGCAGCAGGAGAAGCAAAGAGCTTTTTCCTCCCAGTAGGCACCAGCAGAGTGTGCCTGTGACCCCCAACATTGCTCCAAGTGCTGGGAAGCTCCTGAGAGTAGAGCTCCTGAGCACTAGGGGGTGCCAAACACATAGTGATTATCCCATAGTAATCATTAGAATTATGAAATGGCAAAAGAATTTTGTCCAAACAAAAATCCCACTAACACCAGGAAGAGGGCTAAGTGAAACTGAACTCACCAATCTTCT